CTCTCTCGCGGCGTTCTGGGAAATGTAGTTCCGCGGGGAGGGGGAGGGCGCAGGGCACAGCCGCGGCAGGAGGGCAGGGCAGCTCTCAGCAGCAGCGGGAGCACAGATCAATCGTGATCTCCACCTCAGAGCAGGATTTAACTGGTTCGACACACTCGCAGCCCAGCCGGGGAACATAAAAAGGGCAGGCGTCTCGCAGTTCCACAAACCTCGGTCGAGCCCTGCCGTCTCACCCCCAGCTTTTCTGTTTTGGCCCTGTTCTGAGCAGTGCTCAGCCTCAAAGCACCAAATCCTATAAATGATGGGATGGGATGAAACGGAGGGCAAAACAGCATTTTTCAGGAATTTACCAAGGAAAGGGAAAACAAGATACTCTGAGACCAGCGGCAAGGCCTTGGGCTGAGGGCGCAAGCTGCCAGCAGCGTTGCTCTCTCCTACTCCCAAAGACACATAAAGACAAAAAGTTAGGCTTGCTTTCCACACTACAAACGTACCAACACCAGAGGCTTGCTGAAGACAAACACACCATTACCAACACTACCCTGACAGCAGGGCTAAGTGCTAGCAGCTTCCCATTGCCTCCACTCGACCCCAGGCGTGTGTGAAAGATGGCGGGTGCCCACCCAGGCTGCTGCAGTAGGGTCGCTGCGGGTGCCGGGAAGGGGCCCCGCCGCCCCTCACCATGCCCTGGGTGCACCACGAGCGCCCCGCTGCTCACTCAAGCAGGGCTTCCTGTTTCCTCCTGCCTGTTCCGAAACTGTACTTGCCCGCTTCGTAACCCTGCCCTCGCAGATTAGAGCTGTGGCTGGTGGACGACCTCTTCGTGCTTTTGAAGAGGGAAAGACAACTAAGGAAGCCGATAGAGTGTGTCACAGAGCAGAGGGGAACCGGAGCGAAAGCACAGAAGAGGGAGCACGCTCTGGGGGACCTCGGCAGGGAACCGGGGTAGAACAACAAGGCTCACCCAGAAAGGAAGGAAACGGCAGAGAGAGAGGAAAGACGTGAAGGGGAAACGAAGCAAACGAGCTTCATGAAAAAGCACATTAAAAAGGCCATTGACAAAGAAGATGAAAAGGAAGGTCACAAAGAACAATAAGTACTACGGACATTTCAAGTTATTCTGTTTTTTTTTTTAATCAAATGAAATTTGATGCTAAGTATTATGTAAAACCACATGGTTATACCTTTGGTATCAGGAGCAAGCAAAGAAGCAAACGAGGCCTAGAAACTGGGGAAGGATGTATACAAATGAAAGTTGAGCATGTTGTATACAGTCACACAGTATACAAAGAAAAACCTCTCCCTTCTCTATCCGTCTACATCTGTCTAGTGCCGTTTTCCCTTCTGCTAACTTTTTTCTACTTTTCTACAGACTTCTTAGTTATGCTTGATTGCTATACTTCCCTCCCCCACCCAGCTTTCTGGGTTTTCAGACATCTTGTAAACTAGAGTCTAACCAAACCATGAAAGTGCTGAGATAAAAATTAAGGTTAAAAAACCCTATTTATAGACAAAAAGTTTCCAACAAACATCAAAGTCATTAATTACTAAACTACCTGGGGGGAGGTAATCTAAAACAGGTTATAAAGTTATTTTCTTAGTTTTACTTGCAAAATTTTTGTGTTCAATTTTGAGTTTCCTTAATACTTTCTCTCAAATGTTAAACAGGTTCAGAACTACTTCTGAGCAACATAGCCTTGTAATGCTGGAAACACTTATTAGAAAGTGATATATTTTAATCAATTTAATTCCCACTACACATACAAAGACGAAAAAAGTAGTGAAATTACTTTCTTCCTCATGTACGGCATATTGTTTTTACTTCTGCGTGTATCTTTACTCCTGTAGGACAATGGAACAAGACTTGGAAGTTAACATCTTTATGAAAAAAACATTTGAAAGATTAGAGTATGCACCACTTGTTGTGTCCTCACTTTAGAACTAAAATATTCACTGTGAAATAAAAGCTCTTCTGATTTTATGTTAAATATTTTGCACACACCAAATACAATAGGGGAATAGACCATTGTCTTGTCCTCCGTTTTGCATAGGTACTCAAAGGGTTATACAAGGTCTTATGGGAAAAGAGACTAGGCAAGTGACTGCAAAAATAATGATCTGCAAATATTTCAACCAACTATTAATCATATTCAATTCTATTTACTATCCCTTTGTTATATTTGGGTTGAAGTAGATGCTTCCGAAATATGCAGGTTTTACAGAGTATCCAGAAAAACATCAGAGATAAACTCAACAGGCCTAGTCGAGGCTTCTAGTTATGTGACTTCTCTCTATAAAGCCAAATGTATATAACGATCCCTATAGAAGCCCATCGATTCAACAGCAGTGTCAAAAAATTCATGTAAATCAGTGTTGCATACACAAGAAAATACACGGTTCTGCACTTCTGCCAATAGGACAGGCGAGGTCTGGCAGCAGACAGACATTGGGAGTCGCTGGCTCTGCACTGTAAGGTTAGCACAGCACTTGAGCTCTAAGCTCCAAAATCTGCAGATCAGACTCACTCAGATGTGAGGGGAGCCACACGCTTTTCAAAAAAGAAAACCCTGGTAGAGGAAGGAAAAACTGGAGGAGCCTGGCTCTCATTTGTGTTCTGCTCCCTTAGTCAGTACGGGTGCAAAGCACTCAAGTAATTTGGCCCTGCAAACTTTATCAAGGACTACAGATAAGATATATCCACTGAGACTAAAATCTTGTAGCAATGCTACATCAACTGACTTCTAGTAGTCTAAACATGTTCCATCAAACCCTTCATAAGTCAAATCTGTAGTCATACAATGAAAATTTGGTTTAGCTGTGATGATCTAATAGATATACAAAAATGTTGAGTGATACTAGTTTACAATCCTTTAATCCTTTCTGAAGCATCACACATCAACAATTTCATGAGAAATGCATAAATATAGGTAGAAAATATAGGAAGTGGAGGTCGTGTCAAGATACAGCAACTGTTTTAATGAATATTTTTCTACCTGCCTGATTTCATTAAAAGGCAATGTAAACAGGAAGGTGCAATTTAGAGGAATATGGTTTAGAGGAACTGCAGATGACTAGAAGTGTAGAGTGGGGTTTATCCAGTCTGACCAAGTCAACATAATTTTGAGTTTTGCAAGGAGAATCCTTTTTCATTCCTGGAAATCTTGTCAAAGCGAAATATTTGCTCAGTATTTGTCCAGGATTTCTAAACATCTCTCAGCACAGCAGGAGCTCTGGCCATTATGTCTGTAGATCAGATACGCACACTGTGAAACCTCAGACCACCATGACAGGATCAAAATGTCCAGTCTTACAGATCTGACCTTGATCTACTGAACAGGTGTCACATCAAAATGTTCGGACGTGTTGGAGTTACTGAAGATTAAAAAAATGGTACAGTACATGTAGAGTATGTCTCATGCTTCCTGGACATGTTTGACTCTCTGATGTGCTATACATAGCACTCTCACACATACTCACAATTAACTCCTAGGTTAAATACCTAGGAGTCTGGACGAAGAGCAGAGCACTGAATCATCATATTCAACCAGTGTCTGGCAGAATAGGAAGACTGCTAACACACAGCACCTACAAGGGCCAAGATCTACACCTACAAAAATGCAGACAGCAGGCAGTTCTCTTTGTGAACTCAAATTCCAATGCATTCTTTAAAATTTATCTTAGAAGAGATAGGGCATTAGACTCTTTGCATCCTTTATTAATTTTCAAGCATGGAAACAAATCTGAAAAATTTACACCACATAAATAAGGACAACTCATTAAGATAGCATGCTTGATCGTTCACCTTGAGAAAGGCTGAAAATTTTCAATTCTGTTTTTTTCATGCAAGCTGAAATGATCTACAAGGTCTGACAAGCCCCTTCCCTACTTTGTTTTTAAAAGAAAAAGTGCATACTTCTACACTTGAAGTTCCCCATGGTACATGGTAAGTACTGCATAACACTTTCCCCTCTTCCCTCCATCCCCACTGTGTTAGTGTGTTGGCACAATGGTAGGATAACAATCACCAGATTTCAAAAACCACTCAAAGGTTTGGGGTAGCTTTTAAAAAATAAATAAAACTGTTTAGTCAGATACAGATTTTTTTTTTTTGGTGGATAATTTATAACACAAATTCATAAATATGATCACATTCAACTTCCTAAAAATCTATACAAATACAAGTAACACCACTTCCCTTGTAATGCATGGATTTCAAGTAATTACACAAAGCTCTTATTAGACAGCCTTTCACATACAAATTACACAAAATTACAGACATATATGCAGTAACACATCAGGGATAATGTAATGCTTCTGACTACTTAATGGTCCAAAAATAATAAAAGTAATTCAAAAAAAGCTAGTTTTCAGTTTAATTGTTGGGGTGGAATGTACTGTGGGTGGTGGTTGCCTAGCAGCTGCTTTTGCTTTGCTGGCCTGACTTGCTCGGACTGCAGTTTCTAGACGTGTTTTTAATTCAGGAGCAGCTCCCATTACTGTCTTGAAAGCATGTGGGTAAAGTGGACCAATGTGCATTAGATTCTGAAGTGCAAATTCGTGAAGATCTTTAGATGCTGTAGATGCAGAAGCAAAGGCATTTTCATTCAGTAAATAGGAAATCAGAGTGGGAACGAGAAGGGCAAGCAACTGGACTCCTAAAAGTGAAAGAAAAAAAAAAGTAATAACCGTTTCAGAGAAGAAAACAAAAGAAAATTAATTTTATCAGTTACCAGACTGATAAGGGTAATTTTGTTTTCAGAATTGACAATAAACACTGTAATTAAAAAATGATCAAATAAAAAACAACTGAAATGTAGATGATTTCCTGTCCTTTGGTCACTCAAATCTGTCTTACCAGGATTGTGTTTCAGACTTCTATTATTGTTCATCACAGTTATTTTGCTCGACACTTCTTTAAAGATGTCTTTGTACCATCTGATTGCAGATCATTGACAAGAGATCATAAGATGTAGAGTGCCTATCATATTAAAGGATTTCAAAACACTTTTCAAGGAGACAGAAACCAATTGAATCTGGATATCAGCCTCCCCAGTGAGCATAACAGAACTGCTATTAGTATGCAAGTGTTCACGAAAAAGTCAGGGACAGTTATCTGCTATATTACTCCATTCTGGAAGATTCCAATCCAAAAACTAGCACCACAGCTATACTTGGGCTAGCACAACCTAATGAGGCCACAACCCAAAATGGCACAGGGATCAAAAGGGTTTATCTTTACAAAAAAAAAGCAGCTGAACTTAAGCAATAGGGCTAATTTTTGTATCTAGCAAGGATACAAGTATGCCTTTGAAATGTGTAACATGTTAATTGCAAATTTTAAGCTCAAAGAATTTAAACATTAATGGTAACTCATTTATCTAAAATTTTGTAGGTTATCAGAGTATTAATGATTTTCCCCTAAAGGTTTTCACTAAATTCATACTCATAGGGAGACTGTCTCCAGCCAGCATTCACAAAAATCAGATGTTTTGTGTCCTCACTCTTCTCATTTTATGTTTCAAACAACTGTGCCAGAAGCAGAATGGGGCTCAAGAAAACATACATTTAGCGTTTTATCATCAATGAAGAGAAATACCAACAGGGAGTATGTTGTGGGGAGAAAAAAAAAACAAACACAAAACACCAAACCCACACAAAAACAGTAATATTTTAACCAGGAACTTTATCAGCATTTAAAGCCAAATGTCTGCAGAGTAAGTCTTTAGAAAATGCATTTCAGTTAGAGAATAACTGAACTTAAAGATAAACTATAAATACTGTATTCTATCTACTGAAGCAAACAGGAGGCTCCATCTACAATCAAGATATTCTGACCAGTACAATTCAATTTCTTGGGCTTTTTAGATAAACTTCGTTGAGCTCGTAGAAGCAACCTGGTAAAAGCAATGAGTCTGCTAAAATAAATATAAGTTAACAGTGGGAAAAAGTATATTTAAACAGTATGAACCACTCATTTCCAAACAGAAGAAAACATCACTCACTACTGCAGTTCATGTTTAAAATTTCTTTTCCTGCAATCACCAGAAATGCAAGGCTACAGCATTTCCTACTCTACGTACTATATAAGTCCATGTATACAAAAGTTCTAGTACTGGAGTTACAAAAGCATGTTGCACCGACATGGTCTATTTGTGACTATGCCATCAAGTTCCTAACTGCAAGATTTCTAATGTTCAATATTCTATTTTAGTATTACACATTTCTCTAGAAAAACTAAATACTTACTATTCTGTTCCTCACCAAGGGCAACCAACGTTTCAAGAACTTTAATTCCTTCCTGGACTGCTAATAGCTCCAGGTTGTTGTTCGGGCGGCTCCTTTCCACAGCTTTCAACTTCTCAACCATGATAGGGGCCAATGAATGAATATATGGAGTTGACAGGGCACGATTGGTGTGTTGGAACACAGAAAGCAGAAGCTGGTAACACTTGGCTTGAACCTAATCAAATCAAGATAAATACATTGTCCTGAAAGTTATTTGTTAACTCGGGGAATTGTAATAAACTCTGTTATCTACGTGTGTGAGATCCATGTGATAGAAAAAAAAAAAAAAAGATGACTAAAGGGGAAGGAAACATACTGAGTAAGAGGAAAGCAGCAATACAGCCCATCTGCTAAAATAATATTAGCCCAGTTTTCAGTAAAAGGAAGGCTAGTTAGAAAGAACATGCAGGTACTTAACAGCAGTAACAATATGAACTCAGAGAAAATAAAGGAATAGTTAATGTCATACAAGTCAGTCACACAGGTCCACAGAGAACTACATCTTTAAGTCTCAGAACTACCAGCACTAATAGTAGATGTATCTGGAAAATCATGAAATGCTATTCCAACCTCAGAAGGGTAAAACAGCCCATAAAAATGACTCAGATCAAAATGATCTTATTGCTCTAACATAAACCAAGGCTGTAGTCAAAAGTGGCAGGCCTGTCCATCCGTCCTTCTCATTCTCCATCTTGTGCTGGTAGTAGCACAGGAGTATACGTGTAGCCATACAGTGAGCTGGATCACAGAACCCTCTCCTTGTCTTCCTTCTATTTTCTTTTTCCCTCCTCCCTCTTTTCTCTGGAAAGCAGGGATTATTAAAGTCAATGTTTGGGAAAATGAGTCACTGATGATCTTGTTTAGATGAACTTATGAACGCATTTTATTTGGGCATACAAAGATCCTCCTCCAAAATCCCACACAAATAACCCAGAACTTTTGAAAAGGTAAAGCGCCACAACAAATACGAGGATAAAACATTGCACATGCTTTCAATCTGCACTCAAGTCCGAACAGGATGAGTTATTGAGCCCATGCTGAACAGAAACATTCTAGAAGAAATATTATTGAACACAATGATCCGCGAGGAGATCTGGGGATGACTTGAAACATAGATGTTTAAAATTATTGAATAAAAATGATAGATAATAAAAACTAATAGTAAGAAAATGCAAGTTATGCAGCTCAGGTCACTGTTAACTCACTAGTATACTGCTGCAAGTTTCCTATACAATTCAATTTTTAAGTCCTGAAGTAACAACACATCTTCTAATACCATTTGTATCCTTTTAACAGAGCTCCATGGAAGAACATCTTCTCCTAATGCCGTACTCAGCATCATCTTTAACCTGTTTCAACAAATTATTCCTCTGTCTCTCCATACCATTCCAAATAATTCCCTTCCCTTTCTGTCTACATTCTTTAAATTTTACTCCTTATTAGCTGTTAAGGTTATTAGCCTTTGAAATAAGGAGTAAAAGTCTCTTTTCTTACATGCATGCGTAATTCAAATAAGAGTTTTACAACTGCATCTGACAGCCAAATTTTATGCAAGCTTCTTTTATTCCATCTATATAATATAAAACTTTTGACTATTCTGCATTCACAGAAGTCTACAAAAACTCCTGCGAGGTAAAATCAGGGCTTCTTCAAAGCGTGTAAGGAACACTCTCATGTAAAACTTACCCATTAGCATTGAGAGACAAGGGTCTCTCATCTGAGTTCCCTTGTTGGGGCAAAATGAAACTGAGCTCACCAGCTCTCTGGTTATTACTATACATGATATCTCACCTTTCAGACTTCTGCAGGTGGTAATAGTTTCACAAATACTCCTGTATTTCTTATGAGGCACCGGTATTTCTTTAGAAGAGTTTTTTCCATAATTGGTCCAATGCTTTTAGTACAATCAGTATAATGCTTTTATTACAAACAAGTGTCTAGTTACTGACCCCAACAATGAGTGTTTTATATTTAAAAAACTACAACGAACACACGTCAAGTATTACAGAGTGTATGTTCTGCACATCAGCGAGGACAGTGAACACAATCTGGCTGCTGTCAAAGCATGCTCTGTGAATTACAAAAATAGTGGTAAGTTCCAGCTCACTTACAGCTTTCCAGCAGGGCAGTGGGCAGAGAGGTACTTCTCTCCCTGTTCATGTGTTTATACAGAGCTGAGAGAGAGTATGACATAAAAGTTTCTCCTCAATACAACTGACATTTCCATTCACACACTAAAATTTTAAGTAGCTTTCCATCCAAAGTCAGGCTTCAGAACCAACTGAATTTTATGTCCACACTGGAAAACACCAGCCCTGCTGCAGACAAGAATTACCAGTCTAAACAGGATTTTAAATGCCTTGCTGTGACCCTAACACATCAGCATTTTTTGCATGTTTTTCTTCTCAGGAATCTCTGCAGTGCTCACTTTTGGAAACACTATAGATTTTTCTCTTTAGCTCCCACCTGCAGATTTGTATACCCACTCAAACAAACTGATATATACATGGCTGGAACAGGTAAGCTTAACTATACAGCGCATTAGCCCGCTTGAACAAAGTCAGTCTACAACTTTTTAGTTTCCCTCTTCAGTCAGAAAATAATTTAGAAGATAATCCATAAAGACAAACCAAAGGGCAAAAGTGAAATCAGGAGACAGATGGTTCACAATCTGTAGATGTTCTGACGGTGACCACAAAATTACATTTTTGCACTCAAACTGAGTTTTGTATGAACATGTAAAATAAGCACAGGTTTTGCACAAACAAATATAAAATTCATCAGAAATGTGGGATGTAATTTCATCTACTGAAAAAGCGGTTTAGTTTGTATTATAAAAGATCAGCATTAATGTAGAAATGTCACCACTCTCTGGTAACCAACCTTTTCATTTGCTAAAATTTCACATAACAAATATTTTTTTCTTTTTAAAAAGCTGCAAGAACCTGGCACAAGGCCATGAACACACATTATCTAGAAGCACTTAGTTTGGATTGTTTTGTTCACTAAAGAGTTTCTGTAATGCACTGTTGAAAATTCTAGTGATTTTGACAAGCAGTATCTGTCTCTGAAGTGAAGGCATCACAAAGCATTCCGGAAATATGGTAAATGTATCACAATTAGTTTTTCTCAGCTATACATCATTCACATTCCTATAACATGATCTTACCCAAGGATCACAGGAATTTAATGCACTTTTAAATCTGTTCATACATCCATTTTGTAAAGACTGCACTCCAATTATTTCAGTGCTTGCTGACCAAAGGAAGAGAGCAATAGCTGTAAGTATGCTTACTTCATCAAGAATAGGCTTAGAGGCTTCTGAAAACAAAAACAAACAACACTGTGAGCTTACTCCAAAAAGGGTTTAGAATTTATTTAGTAAAATCCAGTGAACACAGATAAACTCACGAAGAGGAAATACGTGTAACTTGACATTATTTGCAACTGCATGCAAATACGCATCTACTTATTACAGAATCACTTTATCATTATTGACTGTGACTAACTAAAAGCTGAGCAACTCTATTCTAATAGTTGTTTTAATAAAGTAAGTCAAACTTGCTGAAACTTAAATATCTACCAACAAACATCACCCACACTTTCTCTGACCAAGTCGTATTTTTTGTTTTCAATGTGTAAACAAGAGAGAAAAAATGTATTTTTTAGATCCTTTCCCCACTAAAAATATATACTTCGCTTTTTTTTTTTTTAAAATCTCTTCAGCTGATACAGCAGAGTAAGAAACTGATATCCAGCATGGCAACAACTTTTACTTAACATGAGGTTTCACATAACAGACTAGCTGATCTGACAGCTACCTGTCACCAATAAGAACAGTCCTACTTTAACCTTTCCTGCTTTTCAAATAGTCTGTATTTGCCATTGTCATCCCTTTTTTCCTTGCACAAGCTTGGTCTTCACGGATCTTATTAATGAATTTACATCAACAGGAAAAAAAATTGTATTTATATGTAATTATTATAATATAAAGTACTATTCTGCTGGTTTAGTTGGCCAGATTGGTTCTGCTCTCCCTTGAAAGGCACAAAGAAACAGCAGATACATAGTCAGCAAAAAGAAAAACAGCATGACTGCCCTTTACAGATGTCAGCTAGTCACTCAATTGACTTAGCCATGATGTGAAACCTCACTTCAAAAAACTACTCCAAGCATTTTAAGTGACAATTTTTATTTTTTTAAATTTTAAATTTGTTTAAATTTTATTGAATTATGAGACTTGAAATCGTATGCAGTAGACCTTGCTTAGATTCTTGTGTGTGTGATGTGTCCCACTCCACAGAAGATTGGAAAGGAAAAGGAAAACATACTCTTGCAAGGAACTGAGAAAGACTTCTGAAGTCTGCAAAAAAGCCCAAACCCAATAATGTTTCTGGAAAGAGGGACTGGGAAATCTTTACAGTAACAAAAGGCTGGAAGACAAGAGCTGATGTGACAAATCAAATTAGAAGTTTGACTTGGTTAACACAAATCTACTGATCCTTCCTCTTCAGACATTTTCAGGATCATTTGCAATTACCTACTTGCTCCCTATCTCTCACATGAGTAACTCCATTCAAGCCTCTCTTCAGTCTCTATAAATGGCTCCTTGGGATGTAAAGGGATGTTTTTTGGCTGAACTACCCTTATGCAAATGACAAATCTTTGTGTCTCTCTTTTGCTAACTACACAGCTGAGACTGTACATCTTTTTTGCTTTTTGAAGGGCAAGGCAAAGTACAAAGACTTTGAAGGGCAAGGCAAAGTGAACCAAGAGAAGTAGTTTGCAGTTCTCTAAAGAGACACAGTAAACATCCTGCTGGTGGGTAACAGATTTTTTTGGCAGGGGTAGGATTTTTTTCTCACCACTGAAAGGTTGTAACGGTATTGTGAATATCCTACTCCAGTATGAACCTTGCCACAATGATCCCTTGCTGTCTTCACACTCATTCACTTTAACATTCACTGTCATTAAGACTATATGAATCGTGTCAGCAAACACTTAAAAGATACACTGATTGCCGTTTTTCTTGAAGTTTCAAGGTGTCGAGTCCATGTACAGTACTGAACAATTACAGTTTCAGTGAAGAGACCAGTTCCTCTACAAACACTGTTTTGGCAACTAAAATCTCCTTTCCTTTAAGCTAGCAGGTATTCTGTGGAAAGAAGAAAGGAACAGTGGAAACGATAGTTTGCTGAGGCCTTGCCAACACATCTAGAGTTGCCAGTAGTCACAGAAATTGAGGCATAGTCCAGGAAGTAAAGTGAATTCAGCTTGGAACTCCTTTAGATTTTACTTGTGAGACATTCAGCAGGTGTCAGAAAGACTGATCGATATCAGAAGGTAGATTTCCAAGTTCCAGAAACAAGTCACTAGCTGAAGCTATGAAGACTGGTAAGGTCAGCCTGAGGAAAATCTAAAGCATGAAATAATCATGTCTTAACGGGATTCAAAATGGAAGAGGAAAGTCTGAACTAGTACAGAAAAATACCCTATGGAAAGGACCTGCGGGGGCGGGGGCTGCAACATGAGTTGCAAAAGGCAAAATTTCTAACAGGAGGTTATGATCAATATTGTCAAAGAAAACAGACCAATAAGGACAAAGCTGGGATGGGAACTCCTGAGATGTAACTGTATTTTCTTAAAGCCAATGCTGTGCTTGTCTTCAACACAACCTATTAAGTAACTCTAATCAGTTATGCTGTGTGCACTCAGGTCTTTCTCCCATTTCAATTTTACAAGCAATTCACCACCACTTTTAATCCCCAACCCTCAGACATGAAGCCTATTAAATTACAGGCAGATACAATACTTGCCTTTTCATTACAGCAAAACCTAGTTCTCTTTAATTTTAACTCTCCTGCACTGGGAAACCACTTACCAGGTTGAGAGTATTCCAAGATAGATGCCAGAGTGCTGCGGATAAGTCCTGTCCATTGTTTCTGAGTTTCATCAGTCTTGACTGTTGGAAGAGTAACAATAGTTTTTATCCCTTGAAGGGCTGCACTGACTGGAGGTGGGACCTGATTATCTGCCGATTTTACTGCTGTTTCTTTCAATACTCTTGTAATCAGAAATAGGATAGTGGGTAAGATTGTCATACATCCTTTAAAAAAAAAGAAAAAAAGACAAAATAGAATTTCTGAAATTAATTCCAACAAGCGTCATAGATAACCTCTTTAGCTTTCCCAATACAGATATATATGGCTAGGAGACAAAGGAGACACCAAGATAAACTGCAATTCAGGTAACAAGTGATATGTGCCATTCAATATTTTATCACCAAATTCATTCATCAGTACTACTGAAGTGTATCATAACACAAGTCATACAAGCCAACACTTAAAATGTTGCTGTCAATTCAGGAATGATGATTCAGCTATTAAAGTTTTGCCCTACATGGCATGTGATACATAGTATGTATCGTATTGAACACATCCGGATTGTTAAATATCTTAAGACAGGATCTGCATATCGCTAGGGTTCTATAAAATAAACAACAACAATAAGAGGTCTGGAAACAGGTATCCAAACCAAGTTATGGTACTTTCCAAAGAAGCTGTTGTGTGGTATGAGACCCAGAAGCAAAGTAAGGAAGTTATCTGGGTCTCACATCCTGGGACAAAGCTGTAGCCATCTGGCTGCTCTACAAAGGAGACAAAACGATCCCCCTCCTACTGCATTGCTTTTCTGAAGAAATCAACACCTATCTGTATGTTTTGTGGAGCCAGTCCTGCAGACGCAAGTTAGGCATACTCAAGAAATATTGATCAAGTAACACATAACCTGACTTTAGACACATGGGAACTTTATTAGAAAAAGATTCAATAACACATGTAGACTTTAAGCCTCTGTAGGACTGAAAGAAGGATGCTATTGGGTTTAGGCATGTAATATTAATCTACAGCTCACTTCAGACAGTCAAGTCGCCTTCCATATCTTTTCTATGCCTCATTTTCCCACATCTGTGGAAACACAAATCCCGTCATTTTCCTACTTCTGGGATTCTGTGAGGATAAATACACAAAGTAGAATAATTATGACTGGAAGGGACTGCTGGAGGTCATCTAGTCCAACCCCTTTTTTCAAAGCAGCAGTTCCTCTAGATCAGATTGCCCAGGATCTCGTCCAATGGAGACTGCAAGATGCTCATGTTTTAAAGAAAGAAGAAGAAATATTAAAAACTCATTCAATCACAGAAAGTGATGAATTCTCTTTGTTCGCAGTTTCCCTTACATCCAAAGGCTCAATTAACACAAATGTTTGTGTATGTACTATCCCTGCCCCCCCACCAGCTATTAGCTGGCTACATCTTCTGGATGAGAAAAAAAGAAAAAACAACGCTAGCAGACTCTGTAGACTAACAATAGTTTCTGAGCTACTTTCATTGGTCACTTGCCAAATGCTGGGAATCGTGCCTTCACTCCAGTCAACACAGAAGTAGTACCGTTACTCCTTTTGCCCACCCCTCCCTCCCCTACCC